AAGGTCAACTGTTGCCTTCAATCTGCAAAAGCTAATCATGCATATGCCATGATATGCAAATGTATCATCTGTGTAGTTCATGTACACTGACTTAGTGGGTTGTGTAGACACCAAACCCTGGCTGTCACTATCATTCCCACTAAACAGTATGGTGATACTGATCACTGATCCTTGGTGTCGGGCCTGGCGCCACTGCTCTGCCTGCCACTTCCAACGTTTCGCGAGCCTTAGGTGTCCAATGGGCACATCCCACCAACAGTCTGGATGGTTCAGGAGCTGGGAACCCAGCTGTGACATCAACAAACAGCTCAATCGCCGTACATGGGTGAAAGGTGAAAGACTCACATATAAAAATATAATGCCGCTGTTTTATTGATGGTGGCAACTTGTAAAAAGGAGGCAAAATCTCACCTAACTCTGATTAAACTTGTTGCTTTGATCGGTTTGGTTGCCACAGAGCACTAGACTGGCGTTGAGCTGACTACACTTCCACACCCATCCAGCTGCACTGTAATGGACAAAGAATGAGACAAAGAAAGGACACAATTTTGCAGAACAGGGTCCGCACCAGATCACACAAGCTATAAGCGTATCATGCTAACTTGTGAATTCCGATGGTTGAACCAGAACTGAACCAGTAAGTTTTGAGACCCCGCATAGATCTGTGTAAAGAGTAGGCTTCTTCGAGTGCCCTTCCTCAACAAACAGGAGCTTCCGTTGGACTTCAGGTGCCCGTCCATTTCCCCTCTTGGCCAGCTGCAAGGCAGCACGCTGCACGCATGCCCTGGCCGAATATACTGATGACAATCGTTGAGGTCTGCTCAAAGCAATCTTTTTGAGCAGAGCGGGAAAATCTTGATGTCTCCAAATCCAGATGTCTCCAAACGCGCCTCGATCTCCTCCGGGTCTTTCACTTCGATCTGGAGTCTTTCCTCTGGTTGTGGTTCTGGACCACTATAGAACCTCAATCTGATAGCAAGCTCGGAAAATTATGCATCTTCTTGGGCCAACAATTTGGTGAGCACAAAAGAGCCTTCCGTTTGGTGACTCTTGACTCTGAAGTGGCACATACCATCGGAACAGGATGCGTTTCTAGCCAATGTTCTACAGAAAACCAGTTGTGACTGCAGCTGGCAAAAAGCTATGCTAGCAAAAGACATTATATACAATTATATACAACTAATTACCACTGCTACTGAGTATAAAATGTTCAGTGCAACAAAGCCGGCAGCAAATGAGCTTCTTGCACGGCAAATAGAACATGAAGCGAAAAGGGGTCCATGACACTTGTAAACAACATCTACGAATGAACAACATAACAACATAACATAAAACAAAAGCACACCCAGTAACATTTGGACCCATCAACGTTCAGGATGCACAGCACAGTGCAAATGCAAGGAACAACCCAAGCGCATCCATACAATCTTCCACCGAC